GCACCACATACAAAAATAAAGATATTGTGTCCACCCAAAACTAAAAACTATTTTTTTAAAAAAGCATGTTTTCAAATGTGCTTACATAGCAGTAGTATTTAGTACAAGCATTCACATATCAGCTATGCTCAATTTTTTTTTTTTTTTAATAAACTGAGCAGAGTAGGTGATCATAAAAGCTTGGCAACCACAGTTCTAAGGCATTTGCTCTCAACCTATGTATATGCTAGAGATCTGGGTATCAGATACTGCTGGGAATCTGATGAAAGCTAAGAATCAATTATCTCCCAGAAAAAATAACATAAACGTATTTTTTAAAAACATTAACATGGGGGCTGAGATCGTGGCTCAGCAGTAGAGCACTTGCGCTTGCCTAGCATGTGCGAGGCCCTGGGTTCAATCCTCAGCCCCACTTAAAAATAAATACATAAAATAAAGGTATTGTGTCCAGCTACAATTAAAAAATATATATTTAAAAAAAAAACAATAACATGATTTTAAGAGTACATGGGGCTGGGATTGTGTCTCAGTGGCAGAACGCTTGCCTCGCATGTGTGAGACACCGGTTTCAATCCTCAGCACCACATGAAAATAAGTAAATAAAATAAAATAGAAAAAGAGTATCTGGGCTCCCATGTTAAGATCCACTCTAGGGCCTCCATTTTTAAAGCCATAAGGACAGTGCTTGGAGTGAAGAGGTCAGCAAAATGCCTCAAGCTCTGTGATTCTATTTTGCTTTACCTTCCCTCTTCTCTTCAAAGCCCCTGCTCCAACTGGGCATGATAGCACATGCCTGTAATCCCAGCAGTTTGAGACTGAGGCAGGAGGACGCAAATTCAAGGCCAGCCTCAGCAACTTATGAGGCCCTAAGCAACTTAATGAGATCCTTTTTCTTAATAAAAATTTTAAAAGGGCTGGGGATGTGGTACAGTGGTTAAGCGCCCCTGGGTTCAATCCCTGGTACTTAAAAAAAAAAACACACAAAACAAAACCCAGCTTCTCTTTCTCCCCAAAGGTGAAGAACAACACTTTGCAGAAAGTCCCTTAATAAGTGCCACAGAATTTGGGAACACAGAGATAACTCCTTTTCATGCATACAGTACACATATTACATACCTTATATGCTTTATCATAATTTTTGCCATTTCCTAAGGCACTCATACATTTTTTTTCTTTTTGGGGAGTGATGTTGCTGGGGATTTTATTGTTTGGTGGCGGTCATTTTATAGGGGATTGAACCCAGGGCTTCCCACATACAAGGCAAATACTCTACCATTGAGTTACATCCCCGGACCTTTTTATTTTATTATCAAGTGGGGTCTCACTAAGTTGCTCAGGCTGTCCTTGAACTTGTGATCTTCCAGCCTCAATCTCTGAGTAGCTGCCTACCCAGTACCTGGGATTAAACTCAGGGCCTCACACATGCTAGGTAAGTGTCCTACCACTGAGCTCACCCAACATATTTTCTTAATTTTCAAAAATTAACCTTTTACCACATATAGTGGCATACACCTGTAATCCCAGCAATTTGAGAAGCTGAGGCAGGAAGACCATAAATTCAATCCCAGCCATTGGACTTAGCAAGATCCTCTATCAACATAAAAATAAAGAGGACTGGAGATGTAGCTCAGTGGCAGAGCACCCCTGGGTTCAATCCCTAGTTTAAAAAAAAAAAAAAAAAAAAAAAA